ATTATATTCACTTACTCTCTCTATCTCTTATCATATCTATCTCTCTATCGTCTCATCTATGTTTCATATATACTCTCTACTATGGTACACTCACTCTCTCTATATCGTATATTAATCTTGTATATCTCTACTATCTCTTACATACTGCATATATATCACTTACTCGCATATATATTATATATATATAAACTGTCATCTCTTCTAACTATATATACTCATTCTCTCTCTAATATCCTCTTCTCTAATATGTATCATTCTCTACTCTCGACCTATCTACTATCCCTCTCATCTGCTTCTATCTTCTCCCCCGTTATGCTTCTTTCTGTATCATCTACTATTCACCTACTATATATATCTATATTTGTCTCTGATCCTCTCTATCTATTACTATCTAATCCTCTCTCTCTACGTATATACTCTATTACTTGCACTCATATGTATACTATATTCAATATATTCTCTCTCTCTATTCATATATTTACTATATATGATTCATGTATAAGTCATTCACTTTATTTCTATTTATTATCTTTTATTTTGTTTTTTTTATTCATTTATCTTATTACAAATTCTGATTCAGCTCATACTTTTTTCTCTATTTTACAGGCATATGAATGTGATCAGTGTGATGAAGTCTTTGTACGTATTGGCCTATTGATGAGTCATCGTAGGGGACACCATCGTCAAAATTTATCTTGCACAGATTGCGATGCAAAGTTCTCTCACTATAATAGCTATAGGATTCATTTACGAAGCCATAAAGGAGATAAGCCTCATAAATGTGTAGATTGTGATATGGCTTTTGTGCAGCAATGCCATTTGCATATTCACCGTAGAACACACACTGGAGAGAAACCATTTATGTGTGAAATTTGTCAACAAGGATTTAAGCAGATGTCTCACTTAACAACACATATGAGGATCCACACTCAAGATAAGCCTTATGTATGCTCACTATGCAATGCCTCTTTCTCTCAGACCAGTAGTTTAAAACGGCACAAAAGACGACACACAGGAGAGAAGCCTTTTAAATGTGACGTATGCGGTGCACTCTTTGTTGAGAGAAGGAATCTTGTAAGACATCAGCTAACACACACTGGGGAAAAACCATACAAATGTGAACAATGCCCAGCATCTTTTACGCAGATGATTGATTTGAAGCGTCATCAAATGGCACATTCAGGTCTGAAGCCTTTTAAATGTGATATATGTGAAGCAGCATTTAGTCGCAAGAACAATCTCCAGTGGCACAAACTGACTCATGAAGGAGATACCCCATACAGATGTGAGAAATGCAATGCTGGTTTTAGTCTCCAAAGGGACATGAAGGCTCACATGAGAACACATACTGGATCCAAACCATTTAGTTGTGATAAGTGCGAGTCAACTTTCGCTCAGTTTAGTACACTTAAGCGTCACAGACAGAGCCACACAGGAGAAAGACATTTTGTGTGCTCAAAGTGTAATGGAGCCTTTAAGGACAAAAGTGCTTTGAAAAGGCATCAGCTTAGACATGAAGGAGTTAGACCTTATGCTTGTCAGAAATGTGACTCGACTTTTATTGAGTACCGTAATCTGAAAAGGCACAAAGTAACAGTTCATGGTGAAGAGCGATTTGAAGGTGGTGATGTTATGATGGAACCCAAAGAAAGTGAGAACATTCAAAACATTCCACCTCCCAAGAAAAGGATTGGAAAGCATGACAGTGATGAAACACTGAATGAAATGTATGATTCAAACTATGCATCAGCTTCTGTTGTACAGCCACAAGAAACAGGCCATCAGCAACAACAGCATGTCAATGAAGTTGTCTCCTTGCCACCATTGACACCTCTCCCACAAAGTCAGCCTCAGGTACATACAACTACTACCTTACCTACTCACACACAAACTCCTATGGTTAATGAGATTGTCACTATTCCTGCCCAAGCTCCAGGGCAAATGCCAACACTAATGCTCACTCAGCATGGCCAACCCCCTCGACCAGGGAGACCAGCTAACAACTGTCAGAATTATCAGTCACATGTGCTGACATATGTGGAAGGGAGTTTTGGTCAGTGGCATTCATGGTGCTTTTGTGAGACTCCAAACATTCCTAATGGTTCACAGAATATGATTGATGGCACAACAACAACTGTAGCGACTCACCCTCCTGCTTCCACTGCTCTATCTGCAGCTCCACTACCCCAGCATCAGCAAGTAACATACACAGAACTCCAGCAACCACAAACACAACAAAACCAAGATGCTGTGGCTGTTCAAGAGGTGACTCAGACAGAATATCATCAAACTCCACAGTATCACACTAACTACCCGCAACCAATCCATCATTATGAAGAAAGCCATCACCAAGACCCACTAGACCAAATAAGCCATCATCAACAACACCATCAACCATCTCATCATCAGCAGCTTCATCAATCACATTCTCACCAGGGCGACAGTAAGATAAGTTCCGAACCTCAGGTATTTGCTATACCAGGCATTCAGCAAGACCAACAAGACCAACAGCAGCAGCAACAACAGCAGCAGCAACAACAGCAGCAGCAGCAGCAGCAGCAGCAGCAGCAGCAGCAGCAACAACAACAACAACAACAACAACAGCAACACCCACAGCCACATCAACATCAACATCAACAGCAACAGCAACAGCAACACCCACAGCCACATCAGCAGCAGCAGCAACCACCACAAGACCAGCAGCAGCAAGAATCCCAGCATCACCAAGAACATCAGCAACAGCAGCATCACCAACACCACCACCATCACCAAGAGCCACAACAATTGCAGCCACAACCTGATCAACATCAAGACTTATCAGAACCTCAGGCTGATCCTCAAGTGACTTTCCAGTACAGTTTAACAGTGAATAATCCTGCTACTGGGGATATCCAAATCCAGAGTGAAGCATTTCCAGCCAACCCTCCTGACACACCTCCTATCAAGAAGAGGCGTCTTGCTAAAACTCAGCAGGAGCCACATGAAGTGCGGATATATACTTGCGCTTCTTGCCCAAGACAATTTACTAGAATAAATCACTTGATTATTCACCAGCGAAGGCATACAGGAGAAAAACCATACCAGTGTGGTGTGTGTCTACAATCATTTACACATAAAAATAGTCTTACAATTCATATGAGAGGTCATACAGGGGAGAGGCCATATAAATGTGCAACTTGTGGGTCATCATTCACTCAGAAGAGCAATTTGCGTGTACATAATCGAACCCACACTGGTGAAAAACCATTCAAATGTGACATGTGCGAAGCTTCATTCAGTCAGGGTAGTCATTTGACTGCTCACAAACGAATTCATAATAACGAACGGCCATATGCATGTGACAGCTGCCAACAAATGTTTACACAGCGTAGTGCTCTGAAACGGCATATAATGACACATACAGGTGACAAACCACACAAGTGTGAGGAGTGTAGTGCCAAATTTTCACAGAAAGATGACTTAAGAAGACACTTAAAGGTTCATTCTGGAGAAAAGCCAATCACGTGCTCTTACAAGCATTGCAATATGAATTTCACAGATAGAACTGGTCTGACAAGACACATAAAATCAGTACATTATGATAAACCAGAGTTAGCAGGAGATGGAAAGAAAAAGAAAAGAAAGAAATCAGGATCAAAACCAGCCCCAAATTCAAGTAAACCAGCCCCAAATCCAAGTAATAGTCCAAAACCTGTGAAAGGAGGAAAAGTTAAGGCCTCAACAGTAGAGCCAACTAGGATAAGTAGACGTCTGCGAGAAGCAGCTGAAAAGAAAAAGGTTAAACCAGAGCATCCTGATTTTATCATGGGTGATTTTATAGATGTGGATGTAGCGATCAGTGATGTGAAACCAGCAGCTCGCCAGAAAAAAAGAAGATAGCTGATAAGTCTCAGGAAAGTAAACAAACTGAAAAGGCAAGAATGGAGTCGTGGTGCTTTTGTGAGGTACCTCATGGCCCAGATGAACCTCATAATCATGCTGGAGTTGAAACTAAAGCAATGAGTGATTTAACTGCCAATATTGTTAATAATGATAAGGGATGTACATCAAAGATAAATGACAGTGATACTAACACAGATCTAGTTGCAAGTGCTCATGCCACTGGTGCAACCTCCCTGCTTCAATTATCAATGGAACACGTGGCTCATGGTTCCATTCCTCCTAGTACTATTAGTGAGGGCCTGCAAGAAGCCACTGGTGCTGTAACCATTGATGCTTCATCTTTAGTAGTTCCTCAGATGGAAGGAGGACCACAAAATGTTGTTGGGTCTAGCAGTCAACCAGTAGTTGCTTCAGCCACCCAAGCTTCTCCGTCAGTTGGGCAGAGTGTAGTGGGTGGCCATGTGGTTACTGCCATAAGCCAACATGGTGCCCAAGGAAGTGGGCGATTAGTTAGTCAGCCGATGATTAGTGGGCAAGTTGTCACCGCCGGTCAACTGGTTGGCACTAGTCAGTTGATGACACCAGAGGGTACAATCTACATTGAGGCCAGTGAAATGTTAAGCAATGGAGCAGTTGTAATAAACCCTGGCCAAGGGGCCTATATCAGCTATGATCAGATTACAATTGGAGCAGATGGTCAGGTAAGAGTAATGTAGATATTGTTTGTAATAAGAATCATAGTACTTCTTATACAACAACAAAAAACATTTTAAACTTATCCTGGGTTCCCAGTGTACAGAGTTTGGACGCAGGGAGGGTCCTAGACATATGGTAGCGATTAGCTCGTATCTGACAGGTCTGACAGCCCTCTTCATATACTCATTTCAGGTAGTCCTCTCGAGATCATGCCTTGCAGAGACTAAGGAGCTGATACAGACCTGTGCATGAGAGCCTATCCATAGCCACATAATGGGATTCTATGTGCCCACACCATCTGGGTTTATACTTACCCTTGTGAGAAAGTGAGAAACAGAGTTCACGATATATGTTTGACAAATATTTATATATCTGGTTTATATTCCGATTGTATAAGAAGTATATGATCATATGCATTACAAGAGCAATGATCCTAGCAGTAATACCTCTGTATCTGAGCCACACTGACTAACTTACTCCTATGCGCTCGCACACATGACCTTCTGCTATCTATAAGCGCAAGTGAGATATGTCATAAGCAATCTTCACTATTTGGTGAGATCGTAGGTATGACATCTTATCATGGGGTATAATGCTGTAAGACCGAAAGACTCAGAGCACTGCTCTATTCATCTACATAATATAACTAGACTTTCTCATGCTAAGAAGAGTAATATTGAACTCTTATGTACTCGTGCAATTACACCAATTTTAATAATTCTTGTTTGCAAATGACTCGTCTCTGAGTGGTTCGGTCATCTACATAACTGCTAGATAGTGTCAATAGCCAGTAATTGCACCGGCAGAACAATTATCGCATCTTAATTCAATAGATCGAGAGCTATGTTAAATGGCGATTCTTCTGACAAAAAAAAAGTTCCTTTTTTGCAAAGGTAACACTGAGAACACCATTTGTAGTATCTAGCATAGCTTCTCAAATATAATCATGGTGCATCCTACTTGCTCTGATTTTGTTGACCGTGACAGCTATGAACCTCGAACAGAATACTGGCAGTACTACTTACCATCGTATAGCGACAGCTGCCATTACACAACTGAGCATTTTTGTGATGTCAGCATTGAGTGGCTGCGGCTCTTTGTATTTGTTATATCTTATTTTTCTTGTGGTTCGTTCTTAGATGCACCCATATGCTTAGATTCATCCCAGACGCACATTTTAAAATCGCAATAGGTTCTCTCGTATCTCCTCAAGATCATGACAATTCATAACCACAATATAGAGATTTATAAGACTTTAATTTGCACAGGCTAACAAAACTAAAGTGGGAAACCGAAGGAAGTGGATAGAGTGACTTTCGCTGACCATAGACGCACTGATAGGCCCTTCATCCTTTATCACATATGTATGGGACTAATGAGGAATGGAAGGCATGCATATGTCCGCACGCCGATAGAATTTGTTCGACTGTAGAATACTAGATGTGAAATGTCAAGGGGAGGTTGCACCAGTATGGTATAGTCTAGTCCTGAACGCGCTCGAGCACATAGCTCCTTGGTCCAGTATAGAAGGCTAATACTGACCATGTACAATGTATTTATCTGTTGCGAGAGACAATACACCTTACAGCCTTGCTAAAGATATCGGAGGAGAGCGAGAAGAGGTGATCATAATGTTCACTCTTTACCAGAAGTTGGTTCACACTCATACTCACCATGATCTGATATGCCCGGAGTATGAGCAACGATTGGTGCACGCACAGTGAAAGGCCATATTATCCTCAACTTGCTGACTTAGCTATACAACTACAAGTATCATCCTCATGCTTTACATTCTCTGACTCTCTTATCAGATGTCTAGCAATTAAGTTTTATATATTACCATTATGTGCACAGAACATTATTCAGACTCACTCTTCCTATGTGATCGCATATTTACGCTTGCGCTCGATGCGAGCACGCTCTGTGTATTCAGCGAGAAGCTCGACTGACCTCGTCTGTATCACTCACGCCTCCGCAACGTAGTCAGTTCCTACAGGTCAAAACTAATGCATCCGGCAATAAAGGGGAGATCTCACAATGTGTAAAATTCAAGGACCATGATGGCGCGATGCGCTGGTTTAACCTTTTTCTTTTCAGCTGCTTTCGGGCGAGAGGAAGCGTCTACTTTGGGTTAGTAATAGATGGGGTCCTGGGGATAAGTATAGTGTTTGGGAGTGGGAGTAGGCAGTCCGTCTATCTCGGGAGGCGTTCTGGGTGGTGGAGGTAATCGCTCTGGAACTGGAGGATTATTTCACACAAATTCGTCACTTGTGTATCTTCCACGCTTGAGGCTTAAAGCCATGGTCAGGAAGGTAACTGGCAACTCGTTATTTTTTTACCTTTTGCGTGCCATTTACTCCAGCGGGCGTGCTTCTGCTGGTCTCTCCAACTTTCGAACATTTCTCGTGGTGCCTCTGAGCTTCTGAGATGCTTCTCTTTACGAGATTTCTCTCCTCCTCTTAGTTCTATCTTTCTCTTTGCTCTCCTCCATTCTCTCCTGGGCTTCACATTCTTGCGCCCTATTCATCTCAATAATGCTCGGTATTTTCTTGAGGTACCCTATTCTTATCATTGAACTGGTTTATCGTCTAACAAGATATCCTCCCCATCCTCCCTTTCTAATCTTCAATCATCTAATCTGCATCTGCTTGTACAGACGCACCGTATTTGCGTCCTTTTATCTATTATGAATTTTAGTCCATAACTCTACTTTATAAGTGTCTTCTTAAGTCATCCCTTCTAGACACTTGAAAATATCTTGCGACCACTCTCGCCAGAAATGCTTACCTTTCGCGCTGTCCATCTCACTCTCCAGCCCACTGCCACCTCAAAACAACCAACACCATTGTGTCGACCGTTTGTCAACCTCTGTATCCAGCTACTACTCCTGTATATTGCCTCCTATACCAATCCCACTGCTTATCTATCGAAGTGAGCTACTATCCCGCTCGTGTTTACAACAGTGTGTTGGGCGCTCTTTCAATGCATACTGCAGCCGAATGTACCGTATTCTATTACTTCAGTTTGTTACGCAGCTAGTCAAATGAACTAACCCTGAACTGCCACACGCCAAACGCATCTCGCACTACATGAATCTCACTATTTGGAATGGTTCATTTCACAAGATAATCCTCACCAGAATTGCCCTGGATGAAGATTCACCATGCCTACATCTGCACACTACTAATGCCCTTCTAGCGAGTTCATCACTTATCACTCCGTATGCTTCCTACATGAGTAATGCGAGTCTCCCACCATGACATACGTCCTGCACCTCATTCCTCCTACCCTTACTATCCCCTCAATCCATCGATCCTGCTCATTCTTCCATTACCACATTGGCTCACGACAATCTTACATTGTGTATTGGTAGAACCCCTCACCTAGGGACCTCCCGTCCGTCCCTCAATGCGATAGTATCCACCAGGACTCCCGTTTTTGCCACATATCATGCCTTCTCTGGAACCTTCCCCTCTTGAAACTCCTCTCTGATCCCTTGTCTCATTCCCCAATTCTTCCCCTCCTACTTCTCCAACACCTGTTTCTACCCTTATCACTCATTTTTTTTCATACAATTGTACACTGAAATTCTCAGACGTATTTTTTATTGCATCTATTTGCCCTTAACCCCCCTTCCCCTTTTACTAATCCCTGGGCTGCTCCATTTTCATACTCTTTTTCCTTTTCAATACCATACTATCCTGCAGTGCTGCATGACAACGTGTAATACATTTAATCTCATAACTCATTAACTCTACCCTTCTCGTTGCTATACTTTTTTATAGTGCTCTATGACCTTTGATGTCTAGCACATTTAATTGCTTTTAACCATTAACCATTAACATATGTCTAGGTCTACCTCATCATCTTGCTTTCCTGTTCTTCATCACTTGCCCTTCCTCCAGTGTCACAGGTTTATATCATCACAATCTGCTGCATTCAAGCACATCTGTTTACATCTAACATTCCTGTCATGTCCTTGCTCCTGCCATCAAATTCAACATTTTAAAATCAGCTTAATACTTGAGATGAAAGATATTAACCCATTGGCACTGGATGCATTCACTGTTTTGTTTTATTAAATTGTGGGGTGAATTATAAGGGGTACCTTATCTCACATGTTAACCCAGTTTCTTGAGTTTTTTTGGAAAATGGCTTTTATTACTGTTACTAATTTTATTTTAATTAGCCCCTTGCTGCTGGGTGGCATGTAAGTACATGCAACAGCTATTGTGGACCAAGTAGCGAGTGGCATCACATCATGACCATTCCCGCACCATCGTCTCATTGGATGGTGCATGTTTCTCTCTGAGAGTAGTGGCATCATTTCTATGGTGAAACTTTTAGGCAATAGCATTTAAAGGGAAAGTAAATATTCATTAAAGAAAAGAAAAGAAAAGAAGAAAAAAAGTAAGTAATAACAATATCAAAATATAAGCTTTTAAGTGGCTAACATTACCTGAAAATGGGAAACTGTCAATGTGCGAGAACAAACCCGCGTTTAGGGACCCAGTGGTAATGGGTTAATATGGTTGTTGTACATGGTATCATCATCCTTTATTATTTATATTATTGTTATTGCTTTCATCATCATTTATCAATATCATTATATCATTACCAATTCATTACCTTTATTATTGTTTTTGTTTATCAGCATAATTATAATTATGTCATAAACTAGAATAATGCTAATAAGAGAAAATCTTTCAAAAACTTTGCAGTCATTATTTTTTTGTAGGTTATTATGAAACTTTTACTGTTGCCTTTTTTTATCCTCTTCATCATCTTCTTTGTGTGAGGGGGGGGGGGGGCATGATATGTATCAGTCTTTCAGGATGGAGATGGGATTCATGCACATGTCTAAAATAATTATTAATAGTGAATATGGATTCTTAAAATATCTTGGATAAGAATTCATTTCAAGCAACTTCTGTAAAACAGTAGGATGATATTTGCTCACTAGTAATATCTTGCCATTCTTGTTACTCTTAAAGGATGATCTTGTGGTCGTAGATGAAAGATTACTATTACTTCCATCTTTTAAAAGTAAAATTAAAAACTTTTTTTTATTTTTCAGGTTCTTAGTGTGCCAGTTGGTGGTTCCACAGGAGAAACACTAATGATCCAACCTGCTGCAGGCTCTGATGTTACTTCAGGTACAGGCACTATTACCTACACGACAACACAGCTAACAGAGCCTAATGCTGCCCAACCCATCCAGTACACAGCTCTAAGTAATGATGTCATTAATCTCTTATCACATGTGGACTCAAGCAAAGAAAGTACCAGTTCTGATCTGACAGCAGAGAAGGGAGTAACAGTTATTGCCAAACCCTTAGATTGTTCAGTATGTGCTAAGTCCTTTGCACAAAAGCGTACCTTATGGACTCATATGTTGGAAGCTCACCCAGATTTACATTGTTGTTCAGAATGTTGTGCAGCATTTACCTCGCCTGAATATCTTAATCAGCATAAGGCCCAACACCAGAAACTGCACGTGTGTTCAAGATGTGGAATGGCATTCACAAATAAATCATCATTAAACAGACATAGACAGCAGATGCATACCGGAGCTGCTGTTGCAGTGGAAGACAAAGTTTTTGGTTGTGGATCATGTGATGCCAGGTTCCACCAACAGTGTGACCTGCGAAGACACGTGCTAGGACATACTGGTGAAAAGCCTTACAGATGCAAACACTGTGATGCTGGATTCACCAGAACATCAAGCCTTAATAAGCATATGAGAATCCATACTGGAGAGAAGCCTTATACATGTGAAGTGTGTGACCAGTCCTTCTCTTATAGATATCAGTTTAACAGACATAAAATCACCCATAGACAGGATGACCAAAGAAGTAACTTCTCTGTTTCATATGAATTTCAGGAGTAATTTATTGTATATGGAATGATGTGTATCAGCAAATATTCGCTGTTCATTGTTGAATTGCTGATACTTAAATAGGTAACCAAAGGAGTAAGAGTATTATGGGGATTTAAATATACCAAACAGTAATTAGGATTAATGGAAATTATACAAGTGGAAATCCCTTATTCATTCAGAATTAGGAAGACCATGTCCTTGACCAGTCATGCATCCAGTCTGAAAGGCATGTCTTCAGATATGCCACTTATCTGTAGAGGTACCATTGGTACTGTGGCCCACCATAGGGTAGAGAGAACTGTATCATTACCATCACATTATTTTATTCATTTTTTCATTTTATCACTTTGTGAAATTTGTATGTGACACTTTCCTTTGCCCAGGTTTTTGTTCATATTAGGAAATAACTACTGTGTGCCCATTTCAAATTCAGATTGTGTAGCCATACTGTAAAATAGACGCAAGCAATTTGTTTCATAGAGAGATTATTTTTAGTGTATTTTGTGTACTGTATTACCAATATTTTATTGATTTATTCTCTTGTATATTATAATTTGTAATGAAAATTGTATATTGTACAAACTATTAACTGTAAATGTAAAATGTTATATAGTGAAGAGTATTAACCAAATGTAAGGTTATTGAATAACCATTGAGTAGGATGTATTTAAAGATGGTTTCCCTTTTTATAAAGACATCACTAGATAGTGTATGTATAATCTTTGTGCATAAACAAATTAAACTGAAATTCAGCTGAAAGTTTATTTTACCCTTTATAGTGTTGTTATATAGGATTTATGCAGTGGCATGGGATAGATATTCATATCCACACATTACCTTCTGTGAAAATAGGTAAACTACTGACTTCATGTTACCTTGGGTTATTGTAATACAGCTGGAAGTGGTGCTTTAGCGGTCAATTATCGATAGTTGCTTTCCATAATTTCTTATGGAAATTATATAATTTGCATAACTATTCACCAACTAAAAATATTGACAGAATGCATATGCATGTGCACACACATTTATAATTATTTTATATATTACTTGCTCAGGGGGAGATTTAATTTTTTTTTCTCATAACAGTTTTCATGATAAATGAGAAACCCAACATCCCAAACAATACAAGGAAAAAAATATAAGGGCATTAAGGATTATATAATTACATATGGCAGACTGCAATAAGGTTAAATATTTAAATGTATTGATTTAGCTGTGAAATAAAGTATTTTTGCTTAATTATGAAGAGCAAAATTTGGAAAAAAGTGAAACCATGGACTAAAACTTTTTTTTTCTTTTTTTACTCTGATTAGATGCATGTTTGATTGTAAAAAAGAAAATACATTCTTTTCTGAAATTAAAACTTACAATGTTCTTTTCCCTTTATATGGCAATTACTTGTATGATACTGTCTTGGCAAAACATATTATCTGGGAGAAGCAGCAGTACAAACAAAATGGAGAGAGAGAAAATGGTAAACATTCAAACAAGAACTCAATGGTGTATTACAGAATACATAATCAATTATAAAATGTTACAGCATTCTGATGCGCTATTTATTAATATCTTCGTATTATTCAACATAAGGGCCAAGAATTCATACTGGAATACTGCTATTATTGTACATGATTATTTGTCTTATTATCACCAGTACTATAAATCTCATCAAAAGGAAATAAACAGAAACTATTGATTCTATATAACTATCACCTTCAGTTGTGATTCATATGATTCACCTGTTGATCTTAAATGGGAGGAAGACAGAAGAATGGCATGTGTTTAATTCAACAAACTAAGAATTAAGCAAAATTAAAAAAAATTGCATCTACTTCCAATTAGCACCCTGCTGACGGGCACGGCTATTGTCGTCATGGAAAGCCTACCCTTCATGTCTCGCTCTAGCAAGTGAACAGGAAGGGCCGGCTGTACACAGCGAACGCCCTGCAGATAAGGCTGGATGGTTGCCAGTAGTCACCGGAATGAGTGCCCCAGAAAATTCTGGCACCGTCAGTGTAGGGTTAAAATCATAATTCACAATAAAGGTTAAAGAAACGATAACTTAACCTGCTGGTTGTATTCCTCTTCACAAGAAATATTAACAAATATTTTTACAAAATGCTTCCCTATTAAAGTAAGGCCTAGGGAGAGCATGAGTGGCAACTTATTCTATCTGGGTGATATTAACGCTTCTGGCATTTAGCACACCAATGGCAGAACTCATGAGCAGCTGAGGTAATGAGTAGAGAGCGCCAGAAGCTCGGACAGAATATATAGAGGAAACCCATATTTTTTTCAAGTTAAAATTATTTTGCTGGTAAATTTCTTACACACCTTAGTCTTTGTTTTGAATGGATATCCTTTCTCTTTAGAGTCATTATCACTATCATTAAACTGCTGTTTTATGACATTAACCATTACTTACTTACCCTCAACACTTTTTTTCTTCTAACCTCATCTAGATATCTGCAGGTGCTCAGAGAAATATAACTTTTTGTATGTGTTCTGAATCTTCAAGGAAGTTTTAAGAGCAAATGTTGCACTGCATGCCTCAAGCAACATTCCATGCATAAAGGACAGATGTGGGGGAGGGAGGGGGGAAACTAGCTCTAACAGAAACTTAATAATGAACATGAATTCTCAGTTTCACTCATAAGTGTGCTGCTAATGTGCTGTAAAAGCTTCAGACAGGACAAGAATACCTTATTAGGAAACTGCTGGCAGTTTAAAAAAAAAACTGCTCACCATAAAATCTTACCAACATAAGCAAAAAATATAGCAGTCCCACATTTAATAACTTATCTCAAATTTAAAGGATGAAACTTTCAAGAAACTTTTATACAAATATCAAATGACAGCAAAACATTATGAAAATTGAGCAAGTAATACTATACAAATCTTGTTTCTCACAGAGAAGCCTTTTGCTGCAATTTTCTTTACTCAGAGGGCAAGCCAGCTGCTACGCCATACATGTGTGTAAAGCAAAAGATAGAATACATAGTTATATGATGTCACTGCCTTCACAAACCTGAGTCTTGTATTTGTCTGATCTTTTCTATGTCATAATGGATATCACCTATGAAGACTATGATGTATGGCTGAAATTACCTCATAAGATGCAACTTAAATCCTTTTCTTTCAAAAAATTATTAAGGTTAATCCAGACTAAAAAGTCATAAATGGGGAACACAAACAGTAGAAAATATTGTTTGATGGAATCCCTGTAAATAGTTCAGATAAAACTTTCCCACTATCACTGGACAGTGCACTACCAGCTGATACCAGTGTCATGTCAGTAGCATAGGACAAGGTAATTAAAACTCAAATTCTTTTTACCTCTTAATAGTAACATATTGAATCTGCATGAAAGCGATCTCACACACATTATATACACAAAGGAGTGGCAGCATAGGTGTTTGAAGCATACAACCACATAACAGTTAGTGCTGGTCAGTTACCTGCACCAAACACAGGGTCTCCTAACATGTATGAACTCAGGTTTTGATATATGAAAATCTGTAATTGACTTTCTTTGGACAATTTCGAGATAACAAGCCACTGGAAATCAGCCCATAGCTTAGCTGTGCACTTAACAAGAGATTTCATATTCTAAATTAACTTATAATTTGTTAAAGAGAGGGTACAAGTATAACCTAATCCCAAGTCTGACTGAAGAGAAACTCTGCAGCGAGGTTCTCATTCTTCTCACAGGCAAAGTAAGCTTGGATTACCACATCTTCAGGGAAATTACCTAGAGCTTTCAGCTGAAAAGGAAAAATAATATGCTTATTCCATATTCCAAATAAATTATAGTCTCATTTACAGGAAAAGCATATTTCCAAGGAAAGTACAAACTACTTGCAGTTTACATTGCATATGACAGCAAATCTGTATTCACATAAAGACTAGCTGTAAAGGGGTGCAACTACTATAACTTATTACTTGTTTGATGATAATGTAAAATTAAATGAATTTGGGAAAAAGGTTTAGAAGCTTCAAACTGTCAAAGGTCATAACAAGAATTATTTTTACATCAATAAAGACAAATAACTGGAGTTAAGACTCCTAGCTTGTATGTAACACCCAAAAGGAAACCATTGCTGAATATCCTACAGGCAACAAAGGATATAATTTATATTTACCCTTTCAATGGCATCTCTATCCTGAGGGGAGACAAGGATTGCATTTTGTCCAGGAGCAGCACGGCCACCACTGCCATCTCCACCTTGATTACCACTACCACCTCCTGTGCTACCACCTGAAATGAAAGTGGGTGGTCTTTAAGTATAGATTAATCCCTGCTACATCATATGAGAATAATATTGAGTTCACAACAATTTGGAAAAAAATGTATTTCTTCATGTTTTTACTACTTTAGATAAATAGACATATCTTGAGCTCTTCCCACTATATTTCATATAATAATATAACATCATAGAGCATCTAGCCTTTATGACCTGTCTAGTAATGAATCAGAAGTCCCAAACTTTACAAGCTATATCACAAATAAAATTTTACTGATGACAATCAGTTACTCAAAACTATGGAGTATCTTACTTTCAGTGAGAATACCGTACATCATATTTTTACAAACAGATCACAAAAATATTGGAAAAGGAGAATGAGACAAATATAAGAAAAATATGAAAATATGTAGATGAGTATTAACATCACCATGGTTAGGGTTAAGGTTATGTGTGAATGTATGAAGAAAGGGAATATGGAATAGGAAGATAAATATAACAAGGAGAAGGATAATAAGAAATAAACATAAACAAGATATGAATAAAACAGAGAAAGAGAGAATTAGAAAAAAAGGAAGTCAAATAAAACAAAAGTCCGCTGATAAGTGCATTTTGGAGTATTTGTTTGAAGACCAGTTACAAGCTGTCAAGATACTATAATCCATCTGTTATCCAAAAACATTCATAACTCAGTGCCTAAGAACCACATCAAAGAAAAAAATAAATGAACAACATTCACCAAAAGGTCTAGTGCTTTCAGAAGAGTTTTGCATACCTCCAGAACTGCCACCTTCATTCAGCATACGCACAAAGGCCTCCTGGTTTTGCTGGATCACCTGAAGTAGCTGCGGATTTGTTTGGCCAATTTGCTGGATGAATGCATCCAGCAATGATGGATTGGACCTGGAAAATTATGTGTACTTATACATATTTCATTGGAAAAATGTGTTGGGGCTCCTCCTTTCCGCTTATTGCCACTTTATTTACTTCAGACTCAACACATTTCTCACCATCCCAAATGTAACTTACCTAATCATTTGTCGCATCTGCTCAAATTGAGGCTGCGATCGAAGGAAGTTTAAAGGATCCTCTGTAAAGTATAACATGGCAGAATCAGTACTGAATTAACAGAGACCTCTTCCCATCCACCAAACTAATCCTTTCCTTTTGCTCTTTTTTCTTGACACACATACCTGGCTGAAACCACAGATTCATCCTCAAAAGTACAAAAAGAAAGAAAGAAAGAAAGAAAGAAAAAAAGCCTCCAATATCGATGCATCCTCTGGCAAAAGTCACAGGATAAAACACTTTTGTTCTTTTTGCAACTTTTTAATGCTTCCATTAATTCCATTTACATACAACTTTTTGCAGTCCTTACCATTGTATATTGACACAAGAAAATTAGTTTATGCAGTGCATTCAAAACACCCAGGGGGAGAATTGTGTATATGCTCACTTAGTAACTCCGCTCTTTCTCCTCTTTCTTCTCTCAAAATGGTAGCAAAATAGCAGCAAGGCTACAGAAATATGCAACCTAACCTGCTCTGCTAGATGACAATAGAGTGGGCAATGCAAAAGTAGGAGTAATATATGGATCTCTGGCATAGTAAGTTTAACTGGTTTTGTATCCAATGTTAGACACCTGATGGTAAGAACTGAAATGCATTTTACTGCATCATACTCCTCAATCTAATTGCCATTTTTTTCATGATTCAAGGTCTCAGTCATTTGACCATTAATACCTTGTATCTGATGACATAGGTTTCATGGCAGTAAGCCAGACATTCTCTTGGCTCAATCCTGTTAGTGTCATAGATGCCAGATCAGTCTCGGAAGACCTCCAACCCAGAATACTGGGTTGTTGCTCCAGGGGGTATTCACTTGAAATTATATAAATTCCATATTTTCCCTTAAAGCCTTTGGACCAGAAAACTTTTCTGGATTCCAAATGAATCCTGGGGACCTGTTTTGGGTATACCATGGTCAAAAGGATAATATAATTCTGTCAAACTGATTATCAAATGACAGCATACTCACTTAGTAGCCCAAGCAAAACACTTTTGTCTCCACACATCAAAGGTGATGATCTGGCTGCAGCTATGCATTTCATGGAGTGATTCCTCACCATAGGATTCTGTTCAGTGTCAGTTTGAAACAACTTCACTTCCATCAAATCAAACCCTTTTATGTGTTAATATTTTGTAGTTGTCTAGCTTTTTCAAAAAATAAAATCAACAAAATGGAAAAGAAGTGGTGTCAGGGGTGACCTGGAAAAAGAAGAGGACAGGTCGTTCTAGTGTGTTTTACGCAAGGAATAAAGGAGGGATCAATAAGTTTTGACTCGGGAAAATGAGGAGGGGGGTGCATTTCGTAGTCCACAATTTTTCTTTGAAGCTTGTTTTAGCTTTAGAAATTGTATTTTTTGTTTGTCTTAACTCTTTGAATCTATTGTTTATTTTTAGTGATTTGAGAAGCCTGTGGACACATGGTAATTTGTTTTACAATTATAATTTGCAGAACTAATGAGTTTGGGGGGCAGTTATGGGGCAATATATCATAGAGGAGTAGGAGGAGATGGTGGGAGGAAAGAGAGAGGGTAAGGAGGAGAGGGTGGGAGGAAAGAAAGAGATGAGGAGGAGAGGGTGGGAGAAGAGGGAAAACAAGAGAGGGTAAGGAGGAGAGAGTGGGAAAAGAGAGAGAACAAGAGAGGATGATGAGAGTGTGGGAGGAGAGAGAGGGCAGGATGACAATGAGAAGGAAGTGGCATGAATGGGAGAGAGGGAGGGAGGGAGAGAGAGGGGGGAGAGAGAGAGAGAGAGAGGGAGGAGAGGAGAGAGAGAGAGAGAGAGAGAGAGAGAGAGAGAGAGAGAGAGAGAGAGAGAGAGAGAGAGAGAGAGAGAGAGAGAGAGAGAGAGAGAGAGAGAGAGAGAGAGAGAGAGAGAGAGAGAGAGAGAGGCAGAGAGAGAGAGAGAAAGAGAGAGAGAGAGAGAGAGAGAGGCAGGCAGAGAGAGAGAGAAAGAGAAAGAGAAGAGAGAGAAAGAAAGAAAAGAAGAGAAAGAAAGAAAGAGAGGGAGAAAGAGATGGAGAAAGAAAAAGAAGAGAGAAAAGAAGAGAAAAAGAGAGAGAGAGAGAGAGAGAGAGAGAGAGAGAGAGAGAGAGAGAGAGAGAGAGAGAGAGAGAGAGAGAGAGAGAGAGAGAGAGAGAGAGAGAGAGAAAGAGAGAGAGAGAGAGAAGAGAGAGAGAGAGAGAGAAGAAGAGAGAGAGAGAGAGAGAAAGAAA